CATTTCAGTGTGCCAAGAAACGCGCATTTTTGCCAGCACAAAGTACATTCAGTTCTAAGCGCTGAGAGTCCACATTTTTATATCAAAAGGTTATATCAAAAGACTTAAGTGCACTAGGAAAGATGTGTTTACGAATTTCGAGCTTAAAGTAGTTGAATTTCTATAAGGAACCAAATTTATGGAGATAAGGAACCAAATTTAGAGAGATAAGGAACCAAATTTAGAGGGAAAAGGAACCAAATTTATGGAGACAAGGGACCAAATTTGGAGAGATAAATATATACAGTAGCGGACATTAACTTACGATATTTTTTCTTCTTATCATAATTTTTTTTTTTTCTAAACACGCAAATGAGCTAAAAATCAAACTAATTGTGTAAAAACAATTGTATTTTGATATTCTGAGTTCAAAAACTTAATAGCATTAAAAAAAATTCTTTTGGAACAAATTTATTAAAATTAACTTACGACGACATTAACTTACGATATTTTGAAAAAACGAATTAATTTTTGTTATGTTGATTTGCTACACTTTATTTTTGTTTGTTTATAATTTAATCTTTATTTATTTTCATTTTTAGAGATGGGAAGAAGAAAACAGGTGTCAACGGAGAAACGGGAGGATGTGCTGCGACTTCACCAGCAACAGATCAAACAAGAGACGATCGCCCAACTTTTATCGATAACCCAGAGTACTGTCTCGTCTATTTTGGCTCGTTATCGACAAACTGGATCTACTGCTGCGAAGAAGAACAAAGGACAGCTTCGGAAGACCACTCCACGAGATGATAATCGAATTCTTGAGCTCTCCAAGATGGATCCAATGAAGACGGCAGTCGATATTCATGCAGAGCTGCCACAACGAGTGAAGGAAACAATCTCTCCTCGAACAGTACAGCGCCGACTGAACCAGGCAAAGATATTCGGACGACGCCCGGCTCACAAACCGTTAATTTCTCTCAAGAATCGCAAGCTTCGGGTGAAATTCGCTCAGGATCATTACCTGGACCCCACAACAATGGGCAAATGTACTTTTTACTGACGAAAGTAAGTTCAATTTGTTTGGATCTGATGGTATGCACTTTGTACGACGTCCTCCAAATAAAAAATTTGATCCCAAATATATTTTGCCGACTGTGAAACATGGAGGTGGTAGTGTAACTGTATGGGGAGGCTTCTCGTCGCACGGATTGGTGGCATTGAAGCGCATAAACGGCATTATGGATCAAGATGTTTACTTAGACATCTTGCAAAACCATATGCTTCCAAGTGTGACTCGTTTTATGCCACCAAACTTCATCTATCAACAAGACAACGACCCAAAGCATACTGCACATCGAGTTTCCCAATGGTTCACTCAACAAGGAATTCAATTAATGAAGTGGCCAAGTCAAAGTCCGGACTTGAATCCGATTGAACATTTATGGAACGTACTCGAAAGAAGCTGCAAAGGGTTTAAAACGAAAAATTCAAAGGAAAAATTTGATCTTCTTGTCAAAAAATGGAGCGAGATCCCCCAAGTAACGATCGATAATCTCATCGCGTCAATGCAACGTCGCTGTAAAGCCGTAATTGATGCCAAAGGTTTTCCAACAAAGGTTTTCTACAATTAACGTTTTTACTCAATATTTATTGGTTAGATGTTGTTAATTTTTTTTGCTTTATTTGTTGGAGCTTGTTTTTTCAAAATATCGTAAGTTAATGTCAGTCGCGAGTTTTAATAAATTTGTTCCAAAAGAATTTTTTAATGCTATTAAGTTTTTTGAACTCAGAATATCAAAAATACAATTGTTTTTACACAATTAGTTTGATTTTTAGCTCATTTGCGTGTTTAGAAAAAAAAATTATGATAAGAAGAAAAAATATCGTAAGTTAATGTCCGCTACTGTATATGCTTTATTCAGTTGAATAGCGACAAAACAAAATCACAATAATTACCCGGGACACCACTCAAAACACACCCAAAAGATAAATAGATACCTCAAGGAAAGAATCACAGAACAGTCAAATCAATTGCCGAAATTGCGGTTTTAAATCTAGCCAAGGTGGAAATATCACGAACATCAGGGGGTAAAATGTTCCAGAATTTAATTAAAAAAGAAACTGTGGGAGCTTTTAGAGGAAACGGAAGGTTGGCGTATGAGAAAAGGCCCCCTTCTGGAGGCCCCTTCTGGAGGCGTAGAGAGCCGAATTCAAAGAGACCAGAAAAAAGGGGGTATATCAAAAGGTTTAAGTGCACTAGGAAAGATGTGTTTACGAATTTTGAGCTTAAAATAATTGAATTTCTATAAGGAACCAAATTTGTGGAGATAAGGACCCGAATTTATGGAGATAAGGAACCAAATTTAAAGGGACAAAGAACCAAATTTGGAGAGGTAAGGAACGAATTTTAGAGATAAGGAACCAAATTTGTAGAGATAAGAAACCAAGTTTGTGGAGATAAGGAAGCCAATTCAGAGAGATACGGAACCGTATTGGAACCGTATTTGATCTAAAAAGAACCGTATTGGAACCTTATTGGATCTAAAAAAGAACCGTGTTGGAACCGTATTGGATCTAAAAAGAGCCGTATTGGAACCGTATTGGAACCTTATTGGGTCTAAAAAGAACCGTATTGGAACCGTATTGGATCTAAAAATCGGCTCATTCAATTGTAATTGTCTGGCGGAATGGTGAAAGAATTTCTTGGGAAAAAAGCCAAAAATTCCCATGGTCATTTCGACCGAATAAAGATTAGAACTCGTATTTTAATAACAAAAAGATTGTTAACAAAAAGATATTGTTTAAAGATTTAAATAAAATCTTAAACTAAATGTGAATCAATAAAAGCTGCAGAAAGCCTTTTCAAAACCGATTCTCAACATAAAAAACATCAAAAACTCGTTGAGTTTCACAGAAAATCTATGTTCTCCGAAAATTAGGTTTTTTTTAAGTCGATTTTCCGATAAATACACTTACTTAGACATCAAAAAAATTCAAAAACATCGAAATTAACAATTTAAATGTTTTCTTGAAGAATTCTTTGAAGATTTTCTTTAGAGAATTCCCCATAGATGATTTTGCGTATTAAAAAGTGTACCAGAAGTTGGCACTGTTATGAAATTTTATGCTCGTGAAGTGTGGAGTGTAGATTGATGAATCAGAAAACTTTTTTATTGTCTATATTCGTATTTAAAATCCTTTCAAAGGTTTTCAAAGTGCTTTTTTGACTGAAAAAAGTGAGTTAAAATAACGTAAAAACATTAAAGTTTACGCTTTAAATCTTTAACTTTTAAATCTTTAAATTTACGCACGAATTTAGGCTTTCCTAGGGAACTGCTTCAATTTACCACCGATTTGCGAAACCGAATCTACCGTAAATACTGGAATAGTACCCCACCCCCATAATGATGGTGCGGAGTGTTGCGTAGTCTAGCTTTGAACGAGTTTTTCTCGACACTGGTTTAAGCTAAAATGCGCGCTTAGGTATCAAAAAGTAGCCCTGGATTGCAGCTATTTTTTGATACCAAAGCGCGCATTGTAGCATAAACCAGTGTCGGCACTTCGTTAACGCAGATAAAGAAAGGTAAATCTGAGTAACTTGATCGGGCAACTACCGTAAATACTGTAATAGTACCCCACCGTCATAATGACGGTGCGGAGCGTCGCGTAGTCTAGCTTTGGAGGCGTTTTTCTCGACACTGGTTTATGCTACAATGCGCGCTTTGGTATCAAAAAATAGCTGAAATTCAGGGCTATTTTTAATACCAAAGACGCATTTTTTGAAAGTACCGGCGCTTTGGAAAAAATGAAATACTAAAAAATTTTTGCGACTACGCGACTGTACGAGGGCGGTGGGGCACTATTTACGTACTACGGTACTTACAGTATTTACGGTAGCTACAAAATCTGTTTGAAAACTTTGAATTGTTGATCAAAATTCATTTTTAATTAGCATTACTCGTTTGCAAGAGTCAACTGTGAAAAGTTAAAGTAATAAAACGATCCTGATTGTCCTGATGGCATTTTTAGTTTACTCAGACATAGAAAACCACAATTTATTTGATCTATTAGGTTGATGCAAAAGTCTTTTCGTTTTTCGTACTTCTGTTAAAAAGTAACAAATTCACGAATTAATCTATAGTTTGCTCTATAAAAAAAGTGTTTTTTTGTTGAATTTGCATCTTTTTAAATGAATTTCGGTTGACTTTCAAGCAAATTCGAGAGTGAAAAAACGCCTTTTTCGTAAAAATCTATAAAAAACTCTACGGAAAAATTGGCTGAATGAATTTCTCTGAAATTTTGGCGAAATATCAAACGTTTTTTTTCTCTATCTTTTATCTATTGACACGAAGATAGGTTTTCTTTAGCTAAGGTGTCTAAACCGCATCATCGAGTTAGCCCTTTTTGACTACCCGACTTCATACTCTCAAGAAAATCCAGGCATTCAATATTTTTAAACCCGTTTTAATGTTATTTTGCAGAAAAATAATTGCTTTTTCTAATGAAATCAACCGTAATTTAATTCGTGCATTTGTTGGCTTGAAACGGCAGACGAAAAGGAACAAAAAGACTTATGCATCAACCTAATACTTAAATGTAACAACATAGAGAAAATCTGTGTTGTTGTTGTTCCCTATATCTTTAAATTTGGTTCCCTATCACTTTAAATTTGGTTGTTGAATGTTGTTGCATTGTTGTTACTCAACAAAATGTTATCTTTTCCGTTATGTTATCTTTTCTGTCATCTTTAATTACGCTACTCCTTTGCTGTGAAACTGTCTCGAGAAACAAGTGCGCCAATGTGTTAGCCTAGTTACCTAGGCTAACACATTGGCTAACTCTGCAACAACTCTGAAAATTCGAAGTACTAAAACGCTGATTTCATCTCTTTTTTCATCTCTATTGTGTCGTGTTTTTATGAAATTTTTTATTGAAATCAATATTTGAATAGAAATCTGAATAAAAAGGATGAGAATTTCACGATTGATTTATTCGTTTTCCCCATTTCATTTCACTTTATGGGCACCTCATTGATCGTGACGGGAGAAGAAGAGAAATCGGTGAGTTTTCATTAATCTCAAGCTTTAGCTAATGTTCTAAACAATAATTTTACTCAAAACTCATTTACGCATCAATCCTATTTCACTTATTTCAAAACTCTTGCTTTCAGTGCACTAGAGAAAGTGCATTTCTAACGATAATAGTAGTGCCTTTCCGCGGCTTTTCGCGATTTTTCTTCGTTTTTAAAAAAAAGTGTAAACGCATCTCTCCTATTGCACTAGTTCTTTATTTAAATCGTTAAAGATTGAGAGAAAAAGCTCTAAATCGTTAATGAATAGTCGATTTGTTAGAAAAGGTATGTTTAAATATAAAAAATGTATTTGAATTTACATTTAAATGTATCTAATCATTTAAAAAAATCCATTTTTTCATTATTATTAGATAAAAAAATCAATTCTTTATCAATTTTTAATAAAATTCTTTGAGAAAATGTCGAAATTTTCAGAAAATGTCGAAATTTCTGTTGATTCTTCTCGGTTGTTCGATTTTTGTCGTACTTATCATGCCAACAAATGAGCAAAAAGATGCGCAAAAGGTGAGAATACCGTATTTTCTGTAATAGTAGTGCAGTCTATAATAGTGGCGCAGTCTGTAATAGTAGTGCAGGCAGGAGGGAGGTTGAAAAAAATAGTAATGCGCACTACTATTACGGAAAATACGGTATCTGATTTTTAGCCTGTCAAAGAAGAAAAGATTAAGAAGATTAAGAAAATGAAGAAATAAAAGGCAATAAAGTCATTAGCATGTCTCTAGTTCAGTCAAAAAAGGCTTTACTGGCTTTATTAGGTTTTATTTAAAGGCCGAAAACCTCAGCAAGGGCTTTTTGAGGCTTACAACACACAGCCAACCACATGCCAGCATGGCTCAGTTGGTAGCGCACTTATCTATCACCCACATATCCCGGGTTCGATCCCTGGGTCTGTCATTCAACTAGTTTTTTTTTGATTTTAAAGAACACCACTACTGGATAGTGGTGTTCTAATACTAAAATAAAACAAATTAGTTGAATGACAGAGCCAGGGATCCAACCCGGGACGTGCCGGTGATAGAGAAGTGCGCTACCAACTGAGCCACGTTGACAGGTGACTTCTCAGGTGAATCAAGTATCTTCTAACGTTTACTAACGTTTTCTAAAGAAGCCAGTCAAAAAGTTATTATTATTATTGGTCAAGAGAGGTCAAAAAGGCAAGAGAAAGAGAATGAGAATGAAAACTAATTTACAGGGTAAAGATTGAGAATTACTGGATTGAGAATTGAGAATATTGAGAATAAAGATTGAGAATTATAATGTACAATGTTAAAAATTCAATAGTTTTTAGAAAGCTAGCGATCAAGAGAAATTCCGGATGAAATTCGCGCAGACAATGATGGGATCAGTGGCTGAGTCGGAGGCGGTAAGAAGTTTTCGAAACATTTATTATTTAACACCAACATTTATTCAATCTTTTATCTTTCTAATAAGATCAATAAAGTCTTTTGTTCTTTATTTTTTGCATTCTTTAGTGCGATAAGCTGGAAGGTGACGCCAAAAAGGCTTGTCTTGTCAAGATCATCGACAAAGTCAAAGAGAAAATGGGGAAATTAAGAGCCGAAGAGGAACGAGTAATGGACGATGGGGAAAAGGTGAGAAGCAATGTGTAAGGCATTGGAAACATTTGTCGCTTTAGCTCACTGGTAAAGCGTTAGCCTGGTGAGTGAGAGGTGCCCGGTTCGAGTCCCGGCGACGAGCATTTTTGTTTTCCCAGCCCATAAAAAGATCAACTAATGTTTAAGTTAAACTAGAGCCAGGAAAGGGAGGGCAAATCTAAACCAGGGCTAGTCTAGGGTTAAGTAAAGCAAGAGCAGAAGCCAGGTCAGCACCAGGGCAAGTCTTGAGTCCTAGCTTTGATTTGAATTGGTAAATGACGTGTCATTTACCGATTTACCGACGTGATGAGCAAAATCTTGAAGAGAAGCTTTAAAGCCCGTTTCCAGTCTCCGGGATTTGAGCACGGGTGGCCTAGTGGATAGTGGGATGGCCTCTCGGTAGTCAGATTCGGGTTCGGTCCCGGGGTTGGTTTTTGGGTTTTTTTTTGCAATATCCAATCTATAAGTCTCTTGCAGATACTCCCGCACTTGGATGGTGTGCTGGATAAAGTAAATAAAGTCTCCAAAGAGCTGAAAGATCACAAGATCAAAGCCGACGTTGGGAATCAAATCGAGCAAAGGATGCAGAAAAAGTTGAAAAGGAAAATGGAAAGGAGGATTCGAAAAGTGAACTTTAAGGGTAAAACGTTGATTTGATTTCTGCACCGTTGATTTGATTTCGATAAAGGTTTTCTCGTTTGAATTTTGCAAATCACAAAAAAATCTTGTTTGTTTTGGTTGATTGGACGTTTCTTGATTGAACTTCTCTTGATTGAACTTCTCTTGATTGGACGTTTCCTGATTGTACTTCTCCTGATTGTACTTCCCTTGATTGAACTTCCCTTGATTGATCTTCCCTTGATTGAACTTCCCTTGATTGAGAATCTAGAAGATTCTGATCTAGAAGATTCAGAGATCATTTCTAGAGATCAATCATATCAAAATCTATCTGAAAACCTTGAATTCATTGATCGAAATTCATTTTTTATTATCATTACTCGTTTGCAAGAGTCAACTGTGAAAATTCGAACTAATAAAACGATCCTGATTGTCCTGATGGCATTTTTAGTTTACTCAGGTGGTTAGACATAGAAAACCACAATTTGGGTTTTGTTTGGTAAACGTCTAGACGCAACTCGATGGTATTTTTCGATTTTTTACTTTTCACCTATAAACAGTGTTGTTTTTATCACGAGACTCGATCAAAACAATTCAAAACAATCTTAAAACAATTTTAATGAATCTTAAAAGAAACAAGAGAAGAAACAAAAACAAAAGCTCAAATTTTGAATCAAAAGACAGCTTTTGAAATGCAAATGAGCAACAGAATGGATTTTGACTTAAATTTTGCCTAGTGAAGAAGATATGAACAGGTAACAGCCAAAGCTAACACTTGAATGCAGAATTCGATTAAAATACTTTAGCTACTGTTTAAGTAGCACAATGGTATCAACAATTTCTGGAATCCGGGATCCAGAATTTCTTGTGGAAAGGAGACAAATTTAAGGTAAAGATTGATCCCAGGGGTTTGGGCAGGGAGGGTGAGTCGATGGTTAACTTGGGTAATTGAACCGGGAAATAGAGAGGTTTCCAAAGGCTTACCCCAGGCCCCTTTGCCAGATAGAGAGCGATTGTAAGCGCGCACAAAGAACATCTCCCCAGCTTTTCTTTTTGCTTTGTAAATGGCTTCTAAATGAGATTTAGAGCTGTAAATTTGTGTTCAGGGTTTTCGGGGCCAAAGAATCGATTGGCGGGGTTTATTTTAACCCTTAATCAGTAAAAAGAGTCAGAAAAGCTACAATTATTATAATAGAAGAATGGAAGAATCTCTCGAATTTCGTAGGTCTATTTTATTTTCTATTTTATCTTGGGGTACTGTAGCCTGATATCTTGGGGTACTGTAGCTTGAAGTCTTGGGATATCTTGGCGTACTGTAGCTTGATATCTTGGGGGTACTGTAGCTTGATATCTTGGCCTACTGTAGCTTGAAATCTTGGGATATCTTGGCGTACTGTAGCTTGATATCTTGGGGTACTGTAGCTTGACATCTTGGCCTACTGTAGCTTGAAATCTTGGCGTTTTCTATTTTAGTCATTTCCTATTTTAGTCAATTTTCAAATAAATTCTTTTTTTTAATGCTCATTTTCATTTTCTCTTTCAAACTATATAGGAAAATGAAGAATAATATTCATTTAAAGAAAGTTATGAACATTGAAGCCAAGCCATATGAAGCCAAAGCCAGATAACACATTCAAATAGCTGTACTTTCATTCCAAGTACTTTCATTATTGACTTTCTACTTTAAACATTGATAAACCTTTGATAAACATTTCCATTTTTATATCATAAGATCGTTGATCGTCAAAAACAAAGCAATTGAGATGAAATGAAACGAGTTTTAATCCAAGAAAAGGATGAGAAAAAAGGGAATCGGTTGATTTTCTTTCATTTTCTTGTGCGGGTCACGCGCCGAGACATAGGCGTAAAAAAACAGGGAAATTCTTTTGAGAAAACAGCGATTTGAACTATATAATGATCAGTTTCTCTAATTGATCTTGAAAACATTCCTAAAATAAAATTGAATTTTGCCAGAATCTGCCACGTCAAGGAAGGCGGAGAACTTTTGATCAACAGAAAAAATTTGAGAGAGCTTTTAGGGGAAAATGTTTTGATGTTGTTCATCAGTTTTCTTTCTCTTTACAGTAGAAAGTCATAAATTGAGTGTAGGGTTGTTGTTTTGGATGAGATTCGGGAATTTCGATTTGTCAATAAGTGTTGAACTTTTACCAGTTTTGATCTGGTATTTTTGGCATACTGTAGCTTGATATCTTGGCTGACTGTGGCTGATATCTTGGCTGACTGTGGCTTGATATCTTGGGGTACTGTAGCCTGGTATCTTGGCGTACTGTAGCTTGAAATCTTGGGGTACTGTAGCTTGATATCTTGGCCTACTGTAGCTTGAAATCTTGGCGTACTGTAGCTTGTTATCTTGGGGGTACTGTAGCTTGAAATCTTGGGGTACTGTAGCTTGATATCTTGGCCTACTGTAGCTTGAAATCTTGGCGTACTGTAGCTTGATATCTTGGGGTACTGTAGCTTGATATCTTGGCATAATGTAGGCTGCTATTCAATACTGTAGCTCTTCAGAAGTTATAATTCTAGACTTCTTATTGGAAGCTGGAGATTTATCTCATTTTAATAGTAAGCCTAACATTGCCATTCGTTCATCAAATCCTTTGTCACATCACTCATCCTCCCCACTGCCCATTCCCCATTCCCCATTGACACGTGATCCCTTTCCCCATCTCCGCCAAAGCATTTTTTCAATTTTTTTGCCTCTTTCATCAAACCGACGAATGGAATGTGATTGTATAAATAGGGCTTTCATCTTGAATGTTTTAATGATTCAATGATTTGGGGAATTGTCTATAAATTTGTCTTGAATTTGTCTTGAACAAATCTCTAAGATCTAGCTGAAGCTGACAAGGCTCAGATCAAGTTCAAGTACATGGACTTGGCTTGGATCAATTCAAGGCTAGGTCCAGACTTGCTTAGAGGGTCTAGAGATCTTGGTCCAGATCTTGGTCCCGATCTTGAACTAGATCTTGGACTAGATCTTGGACTGATTTTGGACTGATTTTGGACCAGATCTTGGCTCAGACTTAGACCTAGATTTGAACATGAACCAATCCAGATCTTGATCCAGATCTTGGTGCAGATCTTGATTCAGATCTTGATCCAGATCTTAATCCAGATCTTGATCCAGATCTTCTTCCGGATCTTGATCCAGATCTTAGTTCAGGTTCAGGCTCTGGTTAAGTGATAAGTGTCTGGATCCATTTCCAAAACCCAGACTAGCTGTCAATACATTCTCCGTCCAATAGCCAAAACTCAAGAAACACTCTTTAGAAAACAGTCAAATCCTTGCTAAATCAAGGAAATGTTTTTTGGATGAGAAGATGAATTTATCTTCTAGAAACCCGCCCAATCCACGATCTTGTCCCCTCTCTTGGCTCGGTTTATTTGCCGAGTGTGTCATTTTCTCCGACTTGTCATTTTCTTCATCTTCATTTCTTCATTTCTTTCTGTGACTCATTTAGATCAATCTCTTATCTTTTTCTTAACATTATATCTCTTTTTATAAACTTTAGATGAGGCTACAAATTGTTCTTTTTCAATATTTTTTCCGCTTTCAACCTTGGCATATGTGGATCCAGCAGTGAGTTTTTAAAAAAAGCATAAAATTGAAATAAGATAACGTTTGAGTAAGGAATGGATCGAGTTTTCTAGTTTTAAAATGATTTTCCAGTTCCGTGGGTCATCTTATACGCTAATCTCGTATCTATTGCACGGTCGGATGAAAGGTGAAGCGAAGTCCTGGATGGAGGAGATTGTTGACGATTTTGGGCCGAGAATGGCCGGCACGATGGCTTTGGAAAAGTGAGTGGCTTAGTGTTACGTGTTCTTTTTACAGATGTCTCATGTAAAGTTGTGATCAAGCTACATTCAGCTAACAGGCAGAGTAATCTTCTCAATCAGTAGATTACAGTAATCTTTTCAGACAAGCTACAGTAAGCTTTTCAGCTTTAAAGCTACCGTAAGCTACAGTAATCTTCTTAGACAAAGCTACAGTAACCTTCTCAGGCAAAGCTACAGTAATCCACTCAGCTTTAAAGCTACTGTAAGCCACAGTAATCTTTTCAGACAGGCTACAGTAACCTTTTCAGCTTTAAAGCTACCGTAAGCCATAGTAATCTTCTTAGATAAAGTTACAGTAACCTTCTCAGGCAAAGCTACAGTAATCCTCTCAGCTTTAAAGCTACTGTAAGCCACAGTAAGCTACTAAATGCCAAACAGATTACAGTAATCTTCTTAGATCTAATCCAAGTCAAGTACATCCAGCGATCCAGAGATTCAGAGATTCAGAGATCCGGAGATCCAGAGGTCCAGAGATCCAGAGATCCAGAGATTCAGAGATCCAGAAATCCAGAGCTCCAGAGCTCTAGAGATCCAGAGATCCAGAAAACTACAGTAATCTTCTCAATCAATTCCCTTTTAGTACAATTGACGCAATTACGCAGAAACTTCGGATTGAAGGCTTTCAAATGTGCATACCGAGCCAGTGCCTGGAATTCCGCACTTTGTCAGGGAGAGGGATCGAGTCACGCTTTTGGGTGAGCTTTAAGAGATACTTTTGGGTGAGCTTTAAGAGATTTAAATCCAAATTACATCTATAGATCAATAGCCGTCTATAGAACTCTAAAGTAATCTTGAATCGAGAAAGAAAGGAAGAAAACTTTCTCTAGATTACTTTGTACAAGAGAATGAAAGCACTAGTGTTTTCATTAGCTTTATCCAAGAAGATTATTGTAGCTTACGGTACTGATTGTACCGTACAATAGTACTGATTGTACCGCAAAGCACTGATTGTTTAAGCTGAAAAGTTGTTTAAGCTTTTAAGCTTTTATGATATTTGACTTTTATTTTAGAGCCAAGAAGACTCGATTTGAATATATTAGCGATTCCTGGTTGTCAACCGGGTCACGTTCGAGGACAAGCCGTCGTTTTGGAAAGTTTTGACGATTTCAGGGTCAGTACAGCATTTCTGTTTTTTCTGGCCTTTTTCTGGCACAAGTATAGCTTCTAAAAAGTCTTATTTACTAAGCAAGTAAACTTTAGAAAGTCAACGTTCATGGAAAAATCGTTGTGATGGTGCATAAGTGGATGGGATACTCGTGGACGGTGCAGAATCGGCAAGGAGGCGTTGAGGTGGGCAATTGAACTAGGCAATAGAGCTAGAGAGAGCTTAGAAATGGAAAAAGAATCAAAATTGATTAGAAAATCTTCAGCTTACTTTATTTTCCTTTTCAGGCAGCTCGCTGGGGCGCGATTGGGTATTTGGCGAAATCGATTACTCCAGAAAGTATGGGAAGTCCGCACACTGGATGGGGAAGTCAGTATTCGTCATTTATAAGGCCACAGCTGAGTTTACAATCTAGTGCATAGTGAGCAATAGGTACCCAAGCAATAAGCAATACTGGCTTATTGTTGGTGCTGGTCTGCTTGATATAGTACAGTATCAGGCAAGTCAGTACAATGGTTCTTGAGGTTATCTGGGTAGGTTAAGATTTCCGAAAATAGGCTACTTCTTTATATTTCTATAGTAGTTTCTATAGTTTTCTATAGTTTCCAAATGTTTGGATACCGTATTTCTTCGAATAGAAGACCGGGTAAAGTGTATGATCGCGTACTCCTGCGTAGCAGCCCTTTTTAAAATTTCTTTTCTGCATAAAAGCTTTCAATGAAGTGCTATAGGGCGGGAAAATGACTCAAAAATACCACATGAGCTAACAGATTTTTGAGCCATTTTCCAGCTCTATAGCACTTGATTGAAAGCTTTTATGCAGAAAAGAAATTTTAAAAAGGGCTGCTACGCAGGAGCACGCGATCATACTCTTTACCCGGTCTTCTATTCGAAGAAATACGGTGTAAAGTTTTCACAGCTATTATCAGTATTCTTTTCTATAGTAATTTCTATAGTAATGCAGATTCTAGTAATGCAAGTTCTGATTGTAAGATGAAAGAAGTATTGTAGCTATTTGGTATAGCTTATCCAGTATACAGTAGTTCTTGAGGGTTAGATACAGTGCTACTTATGGCTTAGGAACAGTACTCCTTGAGTAAGTACAGTACTTCTTAAGGCTTAGATACAGTACTGTTTAAGCTCCAGTACCCAGTAGATACAGTACTCTTTAAGTTCCAGTACCCAGTAGATACAGTACTCCATGAGCCTGAGCTGAAAGACTTGGACAGCTTTTGTTTAAAGAAGAAGAAGTTTTCATGAATCTATAGTTCTATAGAGATTCTCTAAAAGACTTCCTGTACACAAATCTCAAATTTCCTTTCAGAATCAGGGATTCCATCGGCAAGCATCACGTTGGAGGACGCTGAAATGCTTAAAAGGTGAGTACTAGACGATTTTTCTCTATAATAAAAAGCAAATTGTGATCAAAAAGATTAGAATGACTGATTTGATTCTTTTTTTAAATCGTTCAAATGACTTTTCTAAGTAAAAACAGCGTTTTCAAAGATAAAAGATTTCAAAATCGGATGATTTTTGGACAGACAGATAACAGATTTGTTTGTTTTGTTTTTAAAATCGAATTCCAGACTATCAAAACGCGGGAAACGGATCATGATCGAGATGAACATTCGCTCGAGAGTGATGCCCGATCCGGTCATCTCAAGGAATACCATTTTCGATATTAAAAAAAAAAAGGTAAACCCAGGTCAACCCTAGATCCTGAAAACCTAGGTAAAACCTACCTAGGTAAACCCTAGAACTAGGTAAACCCTACCTGGGGTAAAACTCTAGGTCTAGGCAAACCCTACCTAGATAAACTCTAGATCTAGGTAAACCCCCAGATCTAGGTAAACCCTACCTAGGTAAATCCTAGATCTAGGTAACCCTACCCTAGGTAAACTCTAGGTCTGAGGTAAACCCTACCTAGGTAAATCCTAGATCTAGGTAAACCCTACCTAGGTAAACTCTAGGTCTAGGTAAACCCTACCTAGGCAAATCCTGGATCTAGGTAAAACCCTACCTGGGTAAACCCCCAGATCTAGGTAAACCCTACCTTGGTAAACCCTAGATCTCAGGTAAACCCTACCTAGGTAAATCCTAGATCTAGGTAAATCCTATCTAGGTAAACCCTAGTTCTAGATAAACCCCTGCCTAAGTAAAACCCTAGTTCTAGATAAACCCTACCTAAGTAAGCCCTCTAGTTCTAGGTAAACCTTAGATCTAAATAAACCCAGATCCGTCCAAAACAAATCCAAATACATTTTAAAACGAATTTAAAAGCTAAAACTTTCGAATTTCATAAAGTTCAACCCCTCAAGCCATACTTGAATCCAAATTTAACTAAAATTCTTTAAAAATTTCAACTCTTAAGCCTTAAATTTCCTTCGATTTAGACAAAGATAAGTTAATTTACTATTTTTTCCATAATTTATCTATTTTTCATTAAATTTTCAATCAAATCAATCACTTTATCAAATTTTTGTCTGAAAACATTGAAAAATCCGAGATTTATCAACATTTTTCCACTTATTTGAACAAAAGAGACATAGGATTGTTTTAAAGAAGTAAAAGAAACAAAAAAGATGATGATCATGATGAAAAGATAATAAAAAGAAAGAAAAGAAAGAAAGAGCGATAGAAAGAAAGAATGATAGAATGATAGAATGATAGAATGATAGAAAGGAAAGAAAGAAAGAAAGAAAGAAAGAAAGCCAAGAAAGAAAGAAAGGAAAGAAAGAAAGAAAGAAAGAAAGAAAGAAAGAAAGAAAGAAAGCCAAGAAAGAAAGAAAGAAAGAAAGAAAGAAAGAAAGAAAGAAAGAAAGAAAGAAAGAAAGAAAGAAAAGAAAGAAAGAAAGCCAAGAAAGAAAGAAAGAAAGAAAGAAAGAAAGAAAGAAAGAAAGAAAGAAAGAAAGCCAAGAAAGAAAGAAAGGAAAGAAAGAAAGAAAGAAAGAAAGAAAGAAAGAAAAGAAAGAAAGAAAGAAAGAAAGCCATGGAAAGAAAGAAAGAAAAGAAAAATTAAAGAAACTGAGATATCTCTCAAGTTAAGAAGAGTGAAATGAAATTTGATAAATAAAAGTAAAAATTCAACCCAAATTTTCCGAAAAATCTCTAAATTTATCAAAGAAAATCAAAGAAAATTAATGAAATTAATGAAATGATTGTAATAAAGTAATCAATATAGTTACTGAGAATATAACAAAACCCTGAATTTTTAGGATCTCATCACCCGAATGAAGTCATCAACTTGTCGGCACATTTAGACTCGTGGGATGTAGGACAGGTGAGAGAACTAGATTGTTAAAGATTTGAACACAGCTTGTTAAAGCTTTTAAAGCTTTTCTAGTGCATTGAATTCATCAATTTTCTCTTGGCGAGAGGAATTGAATGCGCTAGAAAAGGCATGTTTACATTTTTGAGCACAAAGTGCATCTTAAAATGTTAAATTGATGTTACCAGAAAAGTTAGCTTTCTTGTTTTCTCTATTTCTCTTCTCTATTTCCTATCCTTATTTCTCTTCTCTTCTAGCTTTGAGCCTTAAGAAGCTCTAGGAAGCCTAAAGAAGCTTTTAGAAGCTCTAGGAAGCCTTAAGAAGCTTTAAGAAGCTTTAAGAAGTTTTTAAGAAGCTTTAAGAAGCCTTTAAGAAGCTTTAAGAGTTTTAAGAAGCTTTAAGAGGCTTTAAGAAGCTTTTAAGAGGCCTTTAAGAAGCTTTAAGAAGCTTTAAGAAGCTTTAAGAAGCTTTTAAGAAGCTTTAAGAAGCTTTTAAAGGCTTTAAGAAGCTTTAAGAAGTTTTAACAAGCCTGAGGAGCCTTAAGAAGCCTTAAGAGCTTTGAAGAAGCTTTTAACAAGCTTTAACGAGCCTCCCCATTTCTATCCAGAAAATCTTTAGTTTCCTTTTTTTTTTGTAATTTTTATTTAACAAGGAATAAATGCACAAATAATAGAATAACGAGAGCAAAAGATTTTTCTTTATTCTCCATAGAAAATCAATGATTTTTTTCTTTAAAAATATTAAAATTGATTGTAAAAATGTAAAATGGTTTATTATGGCTTAAAATGGCGATTACGAATGTTTTGTTTTGTTTTGATGTTTACTGTGTCGGATTTTCAGGGAGCTCTCGATGACGCAGCTGGTTGTTCAGCCGTTTTTCACGCAATGAAAGCGATCAAGCAATTAGCCGAAAGACAGCCGGAGATTTCAACCCGAAAAGGTGACAAATTTGGGTTGAGAAATGCAGTTTTAAATGGTGTTTTAAAAAGGATTTAAAATTTAATAACAGATTTAAAACGATTGTTGAACTGCAAATGAAATCATTCTTGCAAATCTTGAGCTGATTTTTCTGCGATATGCAATATGTGCGCTTTCTGAAATGCAATTTTTTTGCTCTAAGGGCTGTCGGAATTGAATCACCACCAGCCGGTCGCTATTCGGATCACCTCAGAGGAGCTGATGGTGATTCAAGGCTCAGCTTCCTTTCTTTAGCATGGTTACGGTAGCTTTAATGAGCTAGGATGCTTTTAGAAATCAAAATTTTTAGAATTACTAAAAGCCATTAGGCCAAAGCTACATGGCTCTGTCTTGTTGTTGAAATTTGCCTAATTTAGCCAAAAGCAAGGATTTGATTTGTTTTTGGTTAGAAATTTGACTTTTTCTTTTTCAACTCTTATCAATCAGATTTTATCGATAAAGCAAGAAGAAAGTGAACTTTTTCAGAACGATTCGCGGAATTTTCTGGACAGCTGAAGAGCAAGGGTTCTAAGGAGGTCGACAATACTATGCTGATCACGGGAATGGACAAAGCACGGGGAAAGGTCAGGAGAGGGAACAGGGAAAAGAGGGAATGGAAAACGGAAAAAGGAAAATGGAATATGGAAAATGGAAAATGGAATATAGAAAAATGGAAAACGGAAAATGAAAAATGGAAAACGGAAAAGGGAAAATGGGACATGAGAAAATGGAAGACGCGAAACGGAAAAAAGGAAAAACGGAAAAGAGAAAACGGAAAATGGAATATAGAAAACGGAAAATGGAAAACGGAAAAAGGAAAAACGGAAAAGAGAAAACGGAAAATGGAATATAGAAAATGGAAGACGGGAAACAGAAAACGGAGAAAGAAAAAATGGAAAAACGGAAAAGGGAAAATGGAAATATAGAAAAAATGGAAGACGGGAAACGGAAAGAAGGAAAACGGAAAAGAGAAAAACGGAAAATGGAATATAGAAAACGGAAAATGGAAAACGGAAAAAGGAAAACGGGAAAGAGAAAACGGAAAATGGAATATAGAAAATGGAAGACGGGAAACAGAAAACGGAAAAGAAAAATGGAAAACGGAAAAGAGAAAAAAGTATTGATAGACTAATTCAATATTAGGAAAATAAAGAAAATTACAAACAATCTATTTGTTTTAAAAAATCAATTTCCTCATTTAAGTTCGTTTCGTCTCCGAGTCCGGACAATGGAGCGTTTAAACCGACGAATTCCGACAGCGAACCTCGCATGCAAAGGAACGAGGGAACAGGTTTGTATTTCAATCTCATTTGAATTTATTTCCTGGTTGTCCAGAAAATTCTGAGAAAATTCTGAGATCGTTCTGAGAAGTTCATTTAAATTTGCTAAAATTTCAAATTAGCACTTAAATTAAGCATCTAAATTAGCATCTAAATTAGCAAGTCAAAATCAGCATCTAAATTAAGCATCTAAATTAGCATTTAAATAAGCATTTAAATAAGCATTTAAATTAACATATCAAATAACGAATACAATAAAATTCACTAAAGAAATGTGAATATTCAGATGGATATAATGAATGAGATTGTGACGATTATCAACTCTTACGGAATACCCCTTTGAAAGTCATTCACAGTAATGGGACAAGTGAGTTTTAAAAAAGCATAATAGATTAAATGGAAATTTGTAGGGTGATGTGCAACAAGTTGTTTGGGGATGATGGAGTCCCATCGACAATGTATATTTCGGATAAAGGTTAGTGCAAGAACAATAGAAAAAGAAGGATATGCGTTCTTCCCCTGTCTCCCGTAAGAAAAGCGGCATCTGGGCACACTGGTCTGGAATAGTGCCTATGAAAGCTCCACTGGTTTACACTACTCAAGTTTTAGCATTAAAGCAAACGTCTTTTTAGCTTTAAACCTATTTCTCCTACCTGTAATGAAGTGAGAGGCTTAGCGACAAGGGATTTCTAAAATCCTTGTCTATCCGAGCAAATTTTAGCATTAAATGTCTATCCGAGCATAGCATTAAATCCTTGTCTATCCGAGCATAGCAAATATGGACGAAATACCGAAATCCCATCATGTTTTGCGCGCTTCCAAAATCGCGCGCGCAGCGAAACTTGGGTAAATACCAAAAACCGGGTGAAGGGTGGCCCCCCCATATCTGAAAATAGTGTGCCAGACGCCATTTGACGAGAGATTACGGAGAGAATGGCCAAAGTGGAAACTCCAATATAAGGTCGGGCTTTCGTGCGTTCTTCCCTGTCTCCGTAAGAAAGTGGCATCTGGCACACTTTGGGCTGGGGTAGGCCCGATGAAACGCCCTCAGCCGGTTTAATTACCCAAGTTTTGTTTGCTAGAAGGAAACGATGTGGGGAAAGGGCAAAGGGCAAAGATGGGATCTCAAAAACTGGGATTTCTAGCCAATCTGGCACCAGCACTGGCACTAGCACTCTCTGATTGAGGAAGAAATTTAGTACTTTACTAAATCATCGATACAACGCTAGATTTCTAGATTCAGACTTGATACGAAGCTGAATTGCTTTTAGACAAAGACAAAGACAAAGAAGAAAAGCGATTTTCTTTTAATATTTCTCGATTTTGTAGCTTTAAATATAATAACTGTAAAAATTGTGATCTTTCTGACTTTTTCTGCATTACTTTACCTAGAAATCATCTTTTTCAGGCTGGGAATTCTACTTCACTTCCACCAAAGCCAGCCGGCGCGATTACGCGCGGATTGAATGTCGGCCGGGAAGATCTCGATTATACAGCGGCAGTTTTTTGCTGCTTTAGCACAGACGTCATCGGCAATAGGAGAGAATGGGTTCGATAAAAGAAATTTTTGCGAAGCAATGATCTCAATTACTTGATTGAATATCGTTTTTTATTTTGATTTAACGAAATTTAACGAAATCTTCAAGTCATTCACCTGAATTCAGTCTATTTTCGCGGTTTTTATTTTTTTGACTTTTTGACCTTTTGTTGATATTTTGTGCAATTTTTGCTTGCTTTTATTGTACGTTAAATGTACAGAAGCGTTACATTGCTAAATGCAAACATTGCTAAAATCCATAACAAAGGGTAGATACTGTATTTTGATTAATGATATAAAGTTTTGAGTTTTTCGAATATTCTACAGAGATTTGTACCTCGCCTGCTGTCGTAGGAAAGTGGTGCCTCGGCAATGCTGTCCTGGGATATTAGGCCGGACGGAAATCACCCTTGCCCGGTTTAATTACCCAAGTTTCTTATGCTAGGCGGTGCGCACCCAGACTTGTTTCCACTTAAAGGATCTGGCAAGTACACTGGAATCAAAGCTGTGTGCATACCTTCCTGTTGCTCGTAGGAAAAAGCGGCGTCTGGCACACTGTCCTGGGATAGAGCCGACGGAAATCACCCTTCGGCCGGTTTAATTACCCAAGTTTCTTGTGCTAGGGAGTGCGCAGACCCAGAAAGACTATGTTTCCACTTAAAGGATCTGGCAAGTACACTGGAATCAAGGCTGTGTAGCGTACCTTCCTGTTGGTCGTAGGAAAGCAGCGTCTGGCACACTGCTCCGGATAAAGTCCCCGGAAACGCCCCATCAGCCGGTGTTAATTACCCAAGTGAGCTAGAAGAGATTTAAAACATCAAATACTTGAGGCTTTGAAGGAAATAGATCTCTTTGATAAGCATTCTCCTTGGCACAGTATCAACCGGTTTAATTATCTCAAAGTGCGCCAAAACGTTGATGATTGTGGGGAAACCACAAAGAACGCATCATTGGATGGTTTTGCTGTACTCTTCCCTTACTCCACCTCATTCTACCGATATTCTCCATCCAACTCCATTCCCAATCCATTCCAATCCATTCCACTCAAGCTCATTCTGTGTGTGGCCCTTCCTCTTTCCAATAACTCATTCGTATTCTCTTCAATAGTCTATCGTAAATGCAGTTAATGGGTAAATGGGGCATCGGTCACAGCTGTTCATCGTGGAGATTTTGTATTTTATAGAGAATGGGGCAACAAAATGTGGGCTTTAGCAAGCATTGAGCATTGAGCATTGAGCCATTGTAAGGAGGCTCAAAGCCAAAGCATTGAGCCTACTTCACAAGCTTGCATTAGCTATTTCAAAAGTTCTTCAAGTTCTTCAAAACATTTCCATTGTGGATATGATCTTGATCATATCCACAAGTGACTCAGAGAAAGGATTTGACTAAGGAAAGGCATGTG